GCCGCCGGCGCCGGCCGCGCTCAGAGGATGTGCAGCTCGTCCGTCTCCGACAGCCCGTACTTGGTCTTGTTCTCGTTGAAGAGCTTGAGCAGGGAGCGGACGTACATCTCGTGGTACATGTCCACGGTCTCGCAGCTTGGGTTCTCGATCTTGGGCACCGCCACCGGCTCTCCCACTGCCGGGAGGGGAGGAAGGTCAGGCCGGTGGAGTGGAGACGTGCTCGGCTCATCGGGGACATGAGCTGAGCGTTGCCTTCCAATGCCACCCATTGTGGGGTGTCCTCCTCCTCCACCCCTCCACCTTCTAGGGGTCCCCTCCGCCCCGGCGGGAGATGCTCACCCACGGTGGTGATGGGTCTGGCGTAGGGAAGGAAGCCCAGGGACTGGACGGAGGTGAGTCCCCGGCCGTAGAAGACACAGGGAGCGAAGCCCATCATCTTCTGGAAGCGCTGCTGGATGCTCCTCATCCAGCTGCCCTCCTCAAAGACCACCTGGCGGAAGAGGTCGTTCTCCCCGAAGGAGAAGGAGGGGACGAGGTAAGCTCTGTGGAGGGGGGATGGTGGGCAGTGATGGGGCGCCGGGACCCCTGGACCCCCGCAGCGGCGGTGGCAGTGGTGCCCGTGACCCACCCATGCTGCAGGGCCATGCGGACGAAGCCCTTGCGGTTCTTCAGGACAAGCGTGGTGACACCGGGACGGCAGGAGAGCGACTCAGCCGCGCCGCCGATGACGATGGCCACCGCGTTGCCGGTGCCGTTCTTGGAGAGCAGGTACCCGATGGCACGGCGTGTCACCGGGCACAGGCCTGCAGCAGAATGGACCACCGGTGCTGTGGGACTGCATGCCCATCCAGCGCCCGGGGGACGGGGACCCCGTGAGGGACCCCACAAGGGACCGTGGCTGGTGGGACCATGCAAGGACCATGCGAGGACCATGCGAGGGACAGTGCAAGGGACAGTGCAAGGGCGCCCCCTACTGCGGGAGAGCTCCCAGGGAGGGGTGGGGTCCCCCGGGCAGGGTGCTGGCAGGGTGCTGGCAGGGTGTGGGCAGGGAGCAGGCAACGTGTAGGCAGGGTGCTGGCAAGGTGTGGGCAGGGTGTGGACAGGGTGCAGGCAGGGTGCAAGCGAAGTGAGGGTGGGGTTCAGGCAGGGTGCAGGCAGGGTGCAAGCAAAGTGAGGGTGGAGTTCAGGCAGGGTGCAGGCAGGGTGCAGGCAG